CAAAAAATAAATACCAAAATAAAACAACAAGAAATGTACTTGTGAGTGTGTGCCTGTCAGTGTGTTTTAAAACAGCGAGAGTGTGTGTCTGTCATAGAACGTGTGTCAGTGTGTGTCAAATCAGTGGATGTGTGTCTGTCAATGAGAAGTGCCCACACTCAAATGTAGGTCTATACCTACATCAAATGTCTCAGTTTGAAATAGCTCACTATTTGGTTACAGATTATATGCAGCATAGCCAATCCTAGGCGGGTGCACAGGGTTTGCTGTCTCCAGGTCCCAGAAGCTGGGGGTGCCGCGAGGAGCAGGCCAATGGCCTGTCACAAGGGCCAGCATTTGGGCGGCCACATACCAAGACCCTGAATCAGCTTATGCGGATCCCAGGAACTAGGCGCTTGGAAATAAGCAGACCTCCCAGGAGCAGAATAGGGAGGCTCTGCAGCAGGAATGTATCCAGTACAGAAACAAGACAAGGCTAGAACAGACTCCAAACAAGAAAACAAGACAAAACTAGGAGAACCCAGAACCGGAGCAGAACAGAAAGCAGAACATTTACACAAGACATGAGGAAAACAAGAACAGGGCAGGACAGGACTGTACATGAACTGGGAATACAAGACAAAATAAAACAAGACAAGAGAGAGATAGATAAGGTAAAACAAGAGGAGACAAAACTAAGTACTATATATGAAAATCATGGGAATTTAGTTACATTATATGATCATACATTGCATAAGCCTGCCACAACGCCAATGTACCCCATAATCGGCAGGTCCTACTCTGCCTAATGTTCGCTAAAAGAACCATAATAAAACACATATAGCACTTACCTGCAAGAAAGGGCAGAGGACTTGAAACCACTACTGCAGGTCCAGACTGAAACAAAAGGAATCATGGAAAAGGAATGGGTGTGGCAACATAAAATAAACATTTAAATGAATCCTGGAGACTGGGAATTCCAGGGACGGCATCCAGGAATGAACCCAGAAAACCCAGCATAAAGAAAACCAGAAACAGAATAGAAAACCAGAAAAAACAAGAAAAACTAAACAAGAATTTTAAAAAGAGTACTGGATACCAGAAGCCATTGCCAGAATGATCCACAGCTAGGAACAGGATGTGACACTGTTACTACTTTTTTTAAAAAACCCTCATAAACATCACATTTAAAACTGTGTATTAGGGGAGGAAAAAACAATAATAATTATAATATATGTTAATAATATATGTTATATAATAATATATAACAGCATATTTGAATAATATTTGATGGAGAAGGCATATTTTAAAATCAATCCACTGATTGACTACTTAGTCCATATTTTAACAGTAAAAATTCTTAAACATTGGTAAAAATAATAAAAAATTGAAAATTATTATTACTAAAAATGTTTTAAGAACTTGGGTTACTAACATTGGATGAAATCACTAAAATCTGAAGTGGGGGGGAAATTGTTACTTTATATATATAGGGTGATTTCAAAATCTACATTTAGTCCTTGTGGCATTAGGGTATCCATATCAAAAATCCATTTCATTTCAGTTCTTTTGAGGATGCACTCTTTATCTCCCCTTCTCCAATGCACTTTTATTTTCTCTATTCCTATAAATTCTAGGCCCTTTGGGTCCCCATTATGGCATTCCATAAAGTGCTTATAAACGCTATGATTAATGAATTTCCGATTGATGCTATAAATGTGTTCCCTAATCCTAATTTTTAAACAACGTGAGGTCTCCCCTATGTATTGTAGCCCACATGGGCAAATTAGCATATAAATGACGTCCTTACTATTACAAGAGATAAAAGATTTAATATCATATTCTTTCTTTGTCGTATGTGATGTAAATTTTAAAACGAAGGATGCAGTCCTGGCACTGGAAGCGGACGTAGAAATGTTGGGACGGACCGAAAAAAGGCGCCAAAATTTGACATATTTAAATCATCGAAACAAAAGGTGAAGAAAGGACTTTTGAAAACGGCTTATGCCGAAACGCGTCAAGTTCAACGTCTGCACAGTGGACTTTTTTGATATTTCTATATATATATTTATTATCTTTTATGCAAGCTGTTTTTATTTATTTATTTATAAAATATTTTACCAGGAAAGATACATTGAGATTTCTCTTGTTTTCAAGTACGTCCTGGGTCCACAAATCATTGCATTGTTACAATTAGGGTACAATAAAATACAAAAACAATATTAATACACAATAAATACAATATTTAACATAGAACAGGCAGGAAATATATAATCAACCATGACAGGTGCATTCTGTTTTGAGGTATGTAGAGAGGGATCTCTTAAAGGACTTTAGGCTTAGGGAAGATTTTAAATTGTGCGGGAGGTCGTTCCACAATTCCGGTGCTCTGTAGGAGAAGGAGGATTGGGCTGCTTTCTTTTTGTATTGAGGTAGACTAAGTAAAGTGTTGGTACTGGATTGGAGGTTATAGGAAGTGGGAACAGCTGAGGAAAGCATTGTGTTCAGGTAGGGTGGGAGTTTCCCAGAAAAGCTCTTAAATACAAGGCTGGAAAGATGAAGGGTGCATCTGGATTCCAGTGACAGCCAGTTTAGTTCTTTTAGCATGTCACAATGGTGAGTCCTGTAATTACATTGTAGCACAAATCGGCAGAACGAGTTATACAATGTGTTGAGTTTATTAATGTGGGATTTCGATGCAGATGCATATACTACATCCCCATAATCAATGATTGGCATCAGCATTTGCAGTACAATCTTTTCCTTTACTGTAGGGCTTAGGCAGGATTTGTTTCTGTACAGGGCACCTAGTTTTGGATAAAGTTTAGATGCAAGCTTTTCTATGTGCAGGCCAAAAGATAGATTGGGGTCTAACATCATACCCAAGTATTTGAAAGAGTGGACTGCGGTCAGTGTGCCATTTGAATTTCTTTTGATGGATAGGTGGGAATTGTGTAATTTGTGTAATTTAGGTACTGTTCCAAAGATCATTGTGACAGTTTTGTCAGTGTTCAGGAAGAGTTTGTTTTTTGCGATCCACTTTTCTACCTCTGTAAACTGGTCTTGGAGCACAGCCTCAAGCTGCGGTAGATCGGAATTGCTTGCATAGATTACCGTGTCATCTGCGTACATGTGTACATTTGAGCATTTGCAGACATTAGGCATATCATTTATAAATAATGTAAATAGTAGGGGGCCGAGAATGGAACCTTGGGGAACACCACACGTGACTGGGAGAGGTAGGGAGTCACTGTCAGAAATGGACATATATTGCGAACGATCCGATACATACGATCGAAACCAGTTTAGCGAACGATCACCAATAACTGAGTTTTTGAGTTTGTGCAGTAGAATGTCGTGGTCTACTGTGTCAAAGGCCTTAGCAAAATCAAGGAAAATATCTCCAGTTAGGTCTCCTTGTTCCATGCCAGTTTGGATGTCATTGCAAACTTTTAAGAGGGCAGTTGTAGTGGAGTGATTCTGGCGAAAGCCCGATTGATCAGGGGTCAGATTGTTGGTAGTACTCACATAGTTGCATATGGGCACATTTTTCTAAGATTTTTGACAATACCGGGAGCAATGATATTGGGCGATAGTTAGAAACCAAAGTAGTGTCACCACTTTTATGAATAGGCACTACTCTCGCAGTCTTCCAAAGTTTGGGTATGTATCCAGACACCAAGGATTCATTAATTAGAGTTGCGACGGGTTTAGCAATTGCCGGCGCACTGAGCTTCAACCGCATTGCTGAGATTTGATCAGGTCCGTACTGGTTTTTCATTTTTAGATTATTAAGATATTTTTCAATGACACTAACAGATACAGGTCTAAAAATGAACTTGTCTATATTGGGACTTTGCAAATTTAGTGGGACCTGATCCACATTTGTAGTTTCAGGATGCGTGTCATTTATTAGCTTGGCAATCAGGGCAGTAGAGCATCCGACAAAATAATTGTTAAAGGCATTTGCTACATCTAAGGGAAGTTGCAGGGTTTGGTTATCCACTTTGACAGTGGAGGGTTGGGAGTGGATTGGGAGAGTTTGTAGTTTATTTATGACTTTCCAAAAGTTTCTAGGGTTTAAGATGCTATTGTTCAGATTTTCATAGAAATATTGGGCCTTGGCCAATTTTGTCTGTTTTGTGCATATATTTTGCCATTGTCTATATGCACGGTGATCATTCATAGAGCCAGTACGCTTAAACTTTGACCACAAAGTGTGTCCAATAAAATTTGTTTATTCGATATCCTGCATCCTGGAGTATCTGAAACCAGCAAAACTCAAACGACCACAGAGGAAAAGGAGCCTGGCTTTTGGGAACCACATGCATACACCATATACACCTTTAGTCTGAGCAAGCTTATTTTATTAAGTGGCTCATGACCATGTGAGTGTGACCTTTTATACTTCAAGTTACACAAAAGTTTTTACATTATCATCCTATGTTGCGTTTTTTCATGTTTTTCTTTTTCTTTACAGGATTGGTTAAGGTACTTAAGTAGTGATTGATCAAAGTGTGCAATAAGGGTAACGTGCAATTTTATCTAGAGTGCTCTCACCATCTCTGTTTTATTATATGACAATTGCAGTACATGCACAGTATCCCCCAATGTTTCCCTATGCAGTGGCGTACCTACCACGATCGCAGCTGCGACTGGGCGCTCACTGCAGGGGGCCCGGCCGCAGCCACTAACCCTGCGACCATGGGCCGCCCAGATGCCACTCCCTCCTTGTTCCCCCAGTCATAGGGGGACCCAAGAGGTAGCTCGCTGGCCACGTAATGGAACACCTCGACGGGCGAGTTCCATTAGGTGGCCAGCGAGCTACCTCTTGGGTTCCTTTCAGACGCGGCGAGGGAGCTATCTTCTCTCTACTCTGCTCCCTTGCGTGCCGTTTGCTGATGCCTAGAGCCACACTGAAGCCCCACTGGACCACAGGGACAGATCCACGCCAGCTCTCCAGGTAGGGAGGCTGGGTGGACATTTAATATTAATAATTTGTGTGTCTGAATATGTATGTATGTGTGTGTGTGTATGTGTTTGTCTGTAAGTGTATGTGTGTCTGAGTGTGTGTGTGTCTGTCTGAGTGTGTGTCTGTAAGTGTGTGTGTCTGAGTGTGTCTGTGAGTGTGTGTCTGAGTGTATGTGTGTGTGTGTCTGTAAGTATGTGTGTGTGTGTGTTTGTCTGTGAGTGTATGTGTGTCTGAGTGGTTGTTTCTGTAAGTGTATGTGTGCGAGTGTGTGTGTCTGTGAGTGTACATGTGTATATGTCTGAGTGTGTGTATTTGAGTATATGTGTGTGTGTCTCTACATGTGTCTGTATGTATGTCTGTCTGTATGTATGGGTCTGTGTCTGTGTGTGTCTGCATGTGTGGGGGAGGGCAGGGACGTGTGGGGCAGGAGGTAGATGTATGGGGGGCCCCAGGGCAATTTTTGCACAGGGGCCCCGTGGTTTCTAGTTACTCCTCTGTCCCTATGGATTCACTGAGCTCATTATAACTGATGATCTTAGCTTGAGGGGGAGGCGACAGACTCGCTGAGACTGGTGCTGCATTGGATAGAGGATAAGTAAAACTCTTTTATGGAGAACACTGTAGTATCAGAAGTACACCCTTAGAGATGTGCTCCTTAAATTTTTTACATATATTTATAATGAATTATAGGTGTTTAGGTGGTAATTTAAAAAAAAAAATAATATACCTGTATTTTAATTTGAATAGAAATTACACTTTCGATAAATATTCTAATTTATTTTAAAAATCCAGGGTATTCTTTTTCCATTTGTACTGAATGCCTTGCATGCAGTGTAAATTAACGTTTTTCTCATAGGTCTGTGCAAGTAAGGGAGAGTCCATTTTTCTACTTGGAAGAAGGAGCCCTGAGTGTATTTACTCTTATGGCAGAATAAGCAGGGTAACGAGAATAGGGTAGACTGGTCCCCAGTTTGGGATCTAGTCCTGTCTTGCTACGTCATCTCTCACTTCTCCACTGGCATTCCAGACCACCACTACAAGTCTTCAGGGTAAGATCTTGTCCTCTACCCACTAAACAGGCAGATATCTCTTCTGACTGCTTCTTCTAGAATAGAATCAATTCCTCTGAGAGCTCTCAACACCATCTTTGCAAAGATGTTTTAGTTCACAGGCAGAAGTGATTATGTTTTCAGCTCAGAGGTGCAAAGACTCGGTCACCATGCACCTAGTGTCACACAGATGGATTTTGGCAGCCGCGTGCCCATGCCCGGCCGGTGAGACCACATGTCCGTGCCTGATGAGTCCAGACACATGAACATTAATACAGTTACCTCCTGCCGGTTCTCCTTCTGCTCTCCATGCTTTCACTGATGCCAGCCACTTCCATAAGTTGCAATTTAAAGAAACAGTCACTTATTTCTATGCTGGTGACACGGACATCGACGTGCATGCACATTTTGGCGTCAACGGGTCCCAGTAACCAATGGGAGACCTTTTTGGGCTACTTAAACTCACTTGACCATTTGTTTAATGCCATATAGTGGTTTCCATTTTGTGGTTAATCTGAGAACGCGTTTATTTCTTGTATTTTCCTGCATTTTGACCTTGGCTTCTCTTTGACAATTCCCCATTCTGATTGTCCTTGACATTTGGCTTTTCCTTACTTTTATTCTGAATTCTGTATCCCTGTACTATTCGTGATGTGTTAAATCCGAGCATTCTAAAGTCCGGTAATATGCTTGTTGTTCTTTTAGTATTTGCTTCCCTTATTTTTGCCTGTTGGATCCTGTCTGTCAGTCATACCTACATAACAGAGGCAACATTCCTATTCAGAGTGAGGAGATTACCTCAATAACTTTATTCACCACTAGGACTAGCCTCCAGAAACACATCATTTAACTTACAATGAGACATATATATAAAAGATGCAAATATATGTATATTACACAGCTTAAACCTTCTCAGAACAATGGAAGTAAAGAAAGACTTCAATAGCAACCTTCCTGTTACATTTCTTCTCCAAATAGTAAACTAGGTACCAGACCCATAACAGATCTGTACTCAAGTTAGTTGGCAAATTATTTCAAAATGTTACTTAAATATTACAGTGTTTTTATTCCAGTTCCCATACACAATTCCACTCAACAGTGTCTGTTTCCTGGGACTATAGCTGACATCACTGTTACCCTTGACCCCACTATGCCTTTGTAGGGACTGTCCTAAGGTATGGTATTTGTCATATATCCTGAATTGTTGGGTCCTGCAACAGCTGACGTAGGTTGTATCAGACAATTTCCTACAAAGACATCAGTCAGCAAATCTTCTATAATGCCAACTTCAATTCAATGGCTACCACTGCCCCAATCAAGGAATATTTTAGCTGTGGGCAGTTTGTGCATGGACTTCCCTGATACTTTCTACAGTATGCCCTGTCTGGTGTCCGTTACGGTTATCCTTTCCGAATGCTGGCACAGGGTTTACATGTGGAACAAAACAAAACCAACTCTCAGTTAAGTGGTATCTGGTCAGAGTCTGTTAACTGGCTTCTGTGCTGATTTCTAATCTGCTCTACAAGGTAGTGGGCACTCCTCCTTGACATTGTAGGAATAACCTTTTGCCAATGGCTGTATGCCCTCATTGAAAAACAGTTACTTTGAATGTGCCCCAGTTGCTGGCAGGATTAACAGCATATTCCTGCTCCACATTTGGATAGGATGGCAGTCTTGGTGGTTTGGTTGAGGGTATTTCTCAAGCCACAGAACTATTTTGCATTGCCAATATTGGCAGATTGAAAGAATGTTTGAGGTTACTGTAAGAGGGTAGCGGTCCTTAACCTAGTACCTGATCTCTGGGGAAAGTATGCTGATAGCATACTAGACTGTAGGCTTGTTTGAACAGGGTCCTCAACTACCTATTGTTCCTGTTACATTTTATTATTGTCTCATTTGGTAAATCCCCCTTTTATTGTAAAGCGCTGCGGAATAAGCTGGCGCTATATAAATACCAATAATAATAATAATAATAATAATAGCACTGCTCCAGCAGGAGTAATTGCAATCCCTGTTCCACTGTAGACATTTAACAACCTTGCCAGCAATAAGAGACAGCCAGAAGTAATTTATATGCCCATTCTAAATATGAGTCACATTCCTTTTTTTGAAAATCTTTAAACGTTTGCCTGTAACACTAGTGAATGTTCTTTCTCAGTATTTTAATCCACACTGAGATCATCTTGAACAGCTCTACATGCTTTTGATGCTGGCCCAGACAGTTTGCTGGTTAAAGTGATGGCCCAGTCTTTCAAAATCTTCTGTATTCAACCCAAATGGGATGAGCTAAAACAGAACTAGCACAAAACATACAAACAAACATATAAGATGGTTACTCCGAGTGAGCAGAGCAGAATGTATGTGACTGTGATTCCATAGCTGACTAGTCACTGTGTCATTTCACTGTGTCAAACCTGGTTACATTTATAATCCACTCATCTCTGCGATATGTCTTCACAACACCAATTGTATTTTGTTTATTTCTGTGTGGGATAAATTCCATTCCGATATACTGTGACTTCATTGATAAAATAAACAACTACTTGTTCTAAACCAGGATAATGCTAAAATTATCTCACGGTATTAGTATAAATAATGTGTTGTCTTCGCAAGTACAATATCACACTGATCAAACAGAATTTGATAGAAACTACAATCCAATTAAGCTTATTCAAAATTTTATTATCCTCACATAGAAAGACTGATCCTATTTTACAAAGTATTAATTTTTTCAACGTTAATATATTTTTTCCTATTGTACACTCCGATATGCCTTAGCCACTTTTGCATTTAGAACAGAATGTTTGCTTTCAAGAAATGACAAACATGAGATTGTTTGAAGAATAAAATGTTTTATGGTGATGGCCAAGAATTTATGCATGATATTATCTTATAGAAACCTTGGATTGATGATATTTATGTAGTGGTGGTAGAAGAGTGAGATATCTACATAATTGTATTGCCTACTTGGAGAGTAGTGTTTGGAATTTCATGCCACAATGATAAATTTTCAATCACATTTCTAGATGTACAGTTTTGCATAGACAGTGATCTACACATTTCCGGAGAACAGAAAGAGTTTGTTTATAATTTATTTGAAAAACTCACCCGTCAGTGATTGCTGCCCTTGGTTGTAAAATAACACCTATATATGTTTTTGCATATAAAATGTAATTAAATCGAAGGTTATCATATTTCATCTTGCAAAAAAAAAAAAAAAATTATGATGCATTAAATGCACTGCTGCCAACGACCACAATGATTTTGACAACATTTTAGCTTGATAGATAAAGCTAGGTAGAATGTTTATATATTTTGCACCCTCAGGAGAACCCATGGATTCATTAATTTGCAAAAAGAATGCACTAAAGGCAAGTGAAGCAGAAAGCCAACCAGCAAAATATATAGTACACTTTTTAAGACATTGAATAATATGATAACTTTGGAAACCACTGTCCTTGAAGATAGTTAGTATGAGAAATGTTGTGTTCACCTTCAGTGGTGTATTTGGATCTGTGCTGCCCTAGGCATGACAGAACTCGGGCACCCCTAATTTAAGTTTGCCCCACCCCTTCCTGGCAAGACCACACCTCTTTCTGGTAAAGACTAACACACACTTTGACTGACAGACACACACTCTCAAATACACTGATATACATACACACATACTCACTGATTTGACACAATCTGACAGACACACAATCATAGACTTACTCACAGACACACACGAACACACTCAATGACATACACACACACTGACAGACATACACAATCATT